ATAACAATTTTAAGGATCTGTACATTCAACTTCAAAGAACAAAAACTACTGAGTTCAAAAGGTCAGACAGGTTAATCATAGTGAAGGATTTCAATATCTTATATCATTATTAGGTCAACACAAACCCCTTTCAAAAAACAAAAAAGTCAGCAAAGAAACTTAAATTAAACCACACCACTGAACACAAAGACTTAAAAGATAACCTACAAAGTGTTTTACCCAGTAACAGAATACACTTTTTTCTCAACAGCACACAGAATTTCTCCAAAATGAACCATATATTAGGCTATAACACATGTTTAAGTACAAAAGAACTGAAAGAATCATCTGCATACTACAGGATTGTAGCAGAATGAAAATGGAAATGAACAGCAAAAGAAGTCATCCAAACTGTGCAAACACATGGAGATTAAATAATACATTATTAACTAATCAAAAGATCACAGAAGAAATCAGGGGAAAAGAAAGTTCCTAGAATCAAATGACAATGGAAGCACAACCTACCAAAATCTATGGGACACAATGAAAGCAGTTCTAAGGGGGAAGGTTACAGCTGAATATGCACACATAAAAAGAAAAGAGTGATCCCAGTCAACCTAATGATGCATCTCAAGGTCCTAGAAAGACAAGAACAATTCAAACCTGAAGCTACTAGAAGGAAAGAATTATAAAGCACAGAGTGGAAATTAATCAAATTGAGGCTACAAAACAATATAAAGGATCAGTGAATCAAGAGTTGGTTCTTTGGAAAAAATGGGCAGGGTATTTGGGGATGAGGGGAGATAGAAGAGAGGAGTGAAAGAAGAAGTAAAAAGGAAAAAAAGATACATTATGCGATGTACCCATTCCCGCAAGATAAATGCATTTACTATGCATCACAGACATATACTAATAAAAAAAATTGAGGAAAAAAAGGTGGTTATCAAACTACTGAAAGACCCAGGTTAAGTATAAAGGTGCTGAGGTTGCCCTATCCCCTCCTTTCCTCTCCTTCACAGCTGATACTTTTTGTTTTGATATAATTTCAATCTAGAAAATTGAGAGAATAGTACAAAGGTGGAAATCTTAAGATATTTTGAAATACCTTCTCAGAACTTAAAAGCTATTTTTAAATTAATGCCAAAAGTTAAAAATAGAAATAAATTCTACTGCTAGCTAATAAACGACTGTAGGAAATCCATAATGATCAATTACCTGGAAAAGCAGAACCACCAGGTATGTCAATTTTTTTATTTTTAAATTGGAACAGGCAAGACAGAGGATGACATTTATGACCCAATCCCAGGAGTACACAAATAAGATAGGCTTGGGAGTTATGTGCAATTACAGAAGCACCAGCTGTCTCTCTATTCTTTCCTTTACAAATGAAAAAGCATGACAGAATACAAATGAAAAGAATTAATTACATAAATGGATAATTCTAATGTGTCACTTTTTTCTGTTTTGTTTCCCTGGTTTTGTTTTTGTTTTGTTAAAGAAACTGTAAAAAATTCAACACTTTATTAGTGGTAATAGCTTACCTAAAACACACTGAAGTCAAAGAAGCCTTAGCTTAGAACCTTTAAGAGATGATAATTTGGGAGGGGTTATTTTCTTATTGAGTCCAAGAGAACCCAATCAGAATTCCCTAGAGAAGTTAATTCTGAGTGTAATCAAGTACCTTAAACAAATAAAGGAATAAAAGCATTTCCAAAGGAGAAACAGTACCTTCTATTTGCCTTGCACCTTAGAAGAACAATTTCCTTGGAGACAGGACAGAGTACAGTTTTAGGACCAGAGGTAAAAGGGCTCATACTGAAGGCACTGAGGAGAGTATGTAGAGAGCCTGAAGCCTAGCTGGTTCATGTTGGTATCATAAGGCCATTTTGTGCACTGAAAGTCAGCTCAAAACACCTCTGCCTGGGAATGACAAGGCTAGTCTTTGGCCTGCCCCCCACCCCCATGTCCACATATGTCTAATATTCTCTCCAGAGTTTCTCCTTGTGTTTTTAACTCTATCACTATTACTATTTAAGAACATGTTCAGATTATAGGTCAGGACCCTCGTGGCAAAGCTGTCCTTGCTGGCAACACTGCAGTCTCTTTGAACAGCAGGACTTTATTTTTATTGGCTTCTGTTAAGAAGCATAGCACAGGGCCTGGTTTATGTTATGTTTACCTGTTAAATGATCAAACAAAGCAGCAAAATGTCAATTGACAGGTGACTGCCATGACCAGATGACAATATACCTTTCAGTTATCAGCAGAGAGCCTGTATTTCAGTGGGTCCCATGCTGCAGAGGGGTTGAATGTTGGCCCCCACTACCCATAGCCTAGCTCCTAGAATTTATGACTGTTACCTTATTTGGAGAAAAGGTTCTTTATAGATGTAAGTTAGTTAAAGTCTTAAAATGAAGAGAGCATCCTGGATTTTGTGGCTGGGCCTCAAATAAAAAAAGACACAGAAGATAAACACACAAATGAAAGACGAAGCCAAAACGAAGTGGAGAGAATGTGGCCCCAAGACAAGGAAGCTGGCAACTGCCAAAGGCTGGAAGAGGCAAAGAAGAGATGCTTCCCCAGAGCCTCCAGGGTGCAGTCCAGCTGGCACCTGGACTTCCGACTCCCGGCCTCCAGATGTGCAAGGATTGGTTCCTATTGTCCAAAACCACTTAGTTTGTGGTAATTTGTCATGGCAGCCCTGGGAAACAAATGCAGAAGCCTACTGAAGTCAGTTCAGCAGATTGCAGAGTAAGTGGATAGAAACAAGCTCTGAGTAGAAACTCTCAAGATGCATTTTAGTCAGTCAGCTCTGTCAGCTGGCTCACCATTCTGAAGTCACCTGCTACACTGAAAACTGTATTCTGTGTAGAAACACCACTAATTTTTATTTATTAATGAATTATACCCTAGCAGATTCCAAAAAGGATCATCACAGTTGACAAACCTAACCCAATAATTCCAACATACCTGACGGAACTGAGTCACTGCTAAAAAAATGTGGAAATCTTGTACTTTTTTAATTTTAATTTTATGACCTAAATAGGTGTTTGGTTTGATAACTAACCCTTAACCAGGTAAATTTGGGAAATGCTTTCAGTCTGAGGGATAGAATAAATACATGCAAAGGTGTGAAAGTGCATGACAATGAACTAGAGGGAGGGTATGGTGGGGAAGGGGACAAGAATAGAGAAAAGCTAGCAGGACAAAGGCAGCAGGAAGTGGACGTCAGCGAACTGTCCCTTCCACCCACTTTCCTTTCTAAGGAAATTACAAGTGTGTTTCACCAAAGGAAAGAATAAACTAGAATGTGGAAGACATAATGTACAAAAAGAAAAGATAGAAGGTTAAACCAATTAGAGGACCGTGTCTGAAACATCAGGTCAGTTTGATGATATCCTTAGAAAGAGACAAAGAAATGTACTCGTGATTCATTACCAGTGAGTCTGACCATGGCAAAATATTCATTGGAAGGACTTATGGTTCACTTGGGTTTTTTTTGGAGGAAAACAGTTACAGAAATAAAGAAAACAATGTAAAACACAAACCATTAAAACAGTAAGAAAATGTATTCATAGTCCTTTGGCTCACCAGTGAGGATAATTATATAGTTTTAACATAGATTTAACCAAGTATTGTGATACAACTTAGGAAGTTACCAAGAGGAAGTTTCTAGGTGGACAAAGAGTGGCATAAGAGTGCTAAATTTCCATGTACAAAAGTCAACAAAGGTGGACATCATGATGCATGCTGTAACCCTAGCATCCTAGGTGTTGAAGTAGGAGGGTCAAAAGCAGACATGAGAAATGCTGCACAAGGTCCCCAGTCCAAGAGGAGCCCCTTAGCTGTAATAAATTCACAAAGGGCACAGCCAGACCACTTCAGCATCCCCAGAAGGCTGACAGCTTGCTCCCAGGCCCAGCCCCAGCCGTGGGCTTTGCTTGGGTCTGATGCCCCACACCAGCTGCTTCCCCCACATCTCCCAACCCACAGTCTTCAGGGCTCAGGCTCAGGCTAGGCAGGCTTGATGTTAGATCAGCCAGCACAGACCTGCCATACCCACGGCGTGCAGGAAAAAAACAAACAAGGTAACAAAAATGCAATGAGTATCAATGCCTCTGCTCACTCAGTTTTTTAAAAAGGACCCTTTACTTACTGTCTCATATCCTTTAAAACAAAATGGATTTAATAGATTCAAATAAGAATTCAACCACCAGCGTCTCCTGAGATCCACAACAGGTTGGAACTTGGGGCGCTGGGAAACCAAGCAACCAGCTCACCTCCCTGGTAAGCGGCTGTGGCTCAGGCAAGCTGCAGCCACCCCAGGGGGAGAACTACTAGCATCTCCCAAGATTCTCGCCATGTTGGAACTTGGGGCATTGGGAAACCAAGGAACCAGCTCACTTTTCTGGCATGCTGCTGTCAGCCTACTTAGCTGAGAATGAAACATTCCACCCCCACCGCCATCTCGTTAGCAAATGGGAGCCAGAGATTTGAGCATCTCTTGGGAGGTTGATCATATGCAATATAGCGAATAAGGGTGATTTCCTTCTACCATCTCTGAAGGCAAATATTTTTATCACTGTTTTGCTTTGTTCTGATTAATGGTATTACTCTATTCAATATTGTTTTGATAAGTTCTATAATGTTTTGTATTTCGTTTGATTTTGCTATACCTGATTGAAAGAACAACTACTGTGAAGATAACAAGATATACTATGGTACCTATTACTGTTATCCCAGTAACCTGCTGTGAAGTTCTGTACCAATTTCACTGCAAGGTCTCAATTGGCTTTGCTCCGTCTTGTTCTGTTGTATTTTACTACTTTCAAAACAATAAAAAAATTTTTTTGAAAAAAAAAAAAAAAGAATTCAGTTGTAGCTAAATGATAATGTGGACATTTTGTTTATATGAAAGGTAATGCTAAAAAAATATTTCTTAATGTGCTCATGACTTTAAAGCTTAACATGAGCTTCTCGAGAGTTGTAGTGGCGGTCTGAGGCACTCCGAACCTCTCCAGTATCCCCGGCCATGCCCTGGGGTCTGCGGTTGCCCCCGATTCAGAGAGCCCAGTCTTCGTTCAAAGGTGAAAGCAGTGGAAGAAGCTGCGCGAGCTGATAAGCGGCTGATCTGAAGTAAAGCCGCTGGGAGTGGGTCCAGCGCTCAGGACCCTCGACCCAAGGACCAGCTTTATGTCCAGCCACCTCCGAAGATCAAAGAAGACAAATATTCAAGGAATATCTGTTGGAACAAAAACTCACTTTTGACATAGAAGGAGAAATTCAGATTTCCAGTAATAGAATGATGACATCTGAGGACCAGGTCCAAGAAAGGACAGAACCTCTGAAACTTGAAACAAAAATGGCTGATAAAGAAAATATCAGAAGACATACAGAAAACATTAATACAACAATGGAAAAGAATTATATTCCCTTAAAAGCTTCTAATGAATTAACCAATTCTCCAGCAATTGAAACACATAATCTTGAGGCTGATGATCAAACTTTACAGTTGTTACCACTTAACAATGATTCTCAAAATCAAACTATGACACTAAACCAGGCATTTCACCTTTAAAAAAAATCATAAAAAAAAGCAAATGATTGCAGAAAAACCAAAGCGTGTTCAAGAAACCTGTGCTAGGATATTATCATGGCCAAATCGTTCAGTCTAAGGTTAATTCATTCAGAAAACTTCTACAAGTCAAAGATGAGAGTTTTGCAACAACAAAGAAACTTTGTGCTTCTGTTTCTAAAGGCACAAAGCCTAACTCTGTAAAGACAAGCAATGCAACAAAAAGTTACAAAGCCTCAAATATGACTGCCACCACTACACTTGAGAACCTTACATTTCAGAACACACAGCTTGTGCGGCCTCCCAATAGAAATCACCACAGTAACACCCAGCATAAGGCCAAACAAGACATTAGCAGAACCTCTGCCAATGTTACAGTCCCAAAGAATCCCACTGAAAAAGAACAATTACAATCAGAAACAGTTCTAGGTAGTGTCAAATCCAGTTCTCAGGGCACAAAAAATAAGGCCTTACAATCAAAAACAGTTCTACCTGTGGTCAAAACCTCTTCTCAGAACGTAAAAAGAAGACATTACACATCTGAAAATATAGTCAGGCCTATTTCATTTACTAATATCAAACTGACAGAAAAGTCAAAAACTGTTGACCACCGAAGACATACATTAGCAAAAGCCACTGTGGATGGATCAGCTCAACTCAAAGAAGAAAGAAAAGCTCATCTGAATGAGTGCAGAGCTGGCAAAGGAAGAGTGCTGAAGAGGCCTCTGAACCCAGTCTCTGCCCAGCCCAAGCCCGAGGGACAAAATGCAAACCCTGTTGGATCATTCTGGACTACGATGGCAGAAGAGGATGAGCAAAGATTATTTACTGACAAAGTGAACAAGATATTTTCTGAATGCCTGAACCTCATTCATGAGGGATACCCAAAAGAAGAAATAATGACCACACTGAATGACGTGATTAAAAATATTGCAAATGCTAAAAAACTTGTTAAATATTGGATATGTCTTATACGTATTGAAACAATCACAAGTCCTGTTGAAAATATTATCTCAATCTATGAGAAGGCCGTTCTTGCAGGAGCTCAGCCAATTGAAGAGATGCGACAGACAATTGTGGATATTGTAACAATGAAGAACCAAGAAAAAAGTAATTGTGGAAAAAATATTGAAGATGCTTGTAAAACCAAGGAACCAATCCAGGAAGTCAACACTGAGGATACAGGTGTTAATCTAGAGCCAGGAAAACAAGAAATGGAGAATAAACATAGTAGAAATGTGGTGTTTGAAGGTTGTGAACAACAGCAAGATGACACAAAAAATCCAAGTGACAATTTTAAAAGCCCTGATGCAGAAAATAGATCAGGTTGCTTAGTTAAATATAACATATCTACTACACCATACTTGCAGAGCATAAAAAAGAAGATGCAATTTGATGAAACAAATCCTGCACTTAAAGAGCTAAAGTTTCTAACACCAGTGAGACGTTCTCGACGCCTTCAAGAGAAGACTTCTAAATTGCCAGACATGTTAAAAGACCATTACCCTTGTGTGTCTTCACTGGAACAGTTGTCAGAGTTAGGAGGTGAAACTGATGCTTTTGTATGTCGCCCAAATGTAGCTCTGTGCCCTATGTACTCTGAGACTGATACTTCAGAGGAGAAATGAAGTTCCAGAGAAAGGAAGGTTCTTACTATTCCTGGGGTGTTTGTGAGGTTCACAGTTCCCTTGAACTTAGGTAAAACTTATATCACATGGACATAAAAAATTTTAGTATACTTCCCTGCTTTTAAACAGAATTCCGACAATTCTTTTTTTGCCTTGATTAATGTGAAAGTCAAAATAGAGGACTGAGAGCTAGGCATGATGGAGCATGCCTGTAATCCTAACACTCATACAGGTGAGGCAGGAAGATCAAGAGTTCAAGGCTAACCAAAACTACTTAGTGAGACCCTGTATCAAAAACAGAACAAAACAAAACAAAAAAACTAGAACTTGGGACAGGGAATAAAGCTCAAAAAGAGTGCATGCTTAGTATACTTGAAATCCTGCATTCAATGCTTAACATCAAACAAAAGAAAATAAAAAATTGTGCTGTGTAGAGTTCCTCCCTTAAGTATTTTACTGGGTTTAGCTTGCTTTTCCCCATACTCATATTAGTCAGACTGTTGGACTCTGAGATATTTCTTGAAGTGTAAGAAAAAAATGATGCCAAAGTTAGTGGATACTCAAAACTTTAATCTGAGTTTTTTCCTTTTGTTTTTTTGCAGCTTGATTGACAGTGTTAAACTTGAATTTTGTATCTTCATTTGATAGTTTATAAACTAATAAGAGTCTGGGTAGGATCTATATATTTAATGTCACTGTAGTTTAGCACTGTAAGCAATAGTCTTTATAATATAAATATGTCACTGTTAAATCATGTCCACCTAGACATATATTGAAGTTTTCTTCTTCCCACAAATAAATACCACCAGGAAAATTATTTTATAAGGTTTGAACTAATACTTACATGGTGTATCAACTACAGTTTCAAAGAAGTAAAGACTAAAAGATTAGTTTAATAACTATATGTGAAATATGAATGTAAATACTTAGTTTTATGTTCATTCCATTTGTATTTTTATTTATTGTCTTATGTTCTAAGAGTGGGACTTTTGGTCTTAATATGCTACCTAATATGTATCCAATGAAAATACCTTTAAAAAAAAACAAAAAAAACTGAGCTTCTCATCTTACATCTACATCCTCTAGAAGGCAACTCAAGTACATCATCTCCTGCAATAAATCATTCACTCACTCACTCAGCACTGTGTGCTTGGTGCCAGGTGCTGGAGTGGACCATATGAACAAGCAAACAAGGTCCCTGTCTTCTATAGTACATACAGCTTCATAGTAGAGTCTAATGTACACTCCAAAAGACAAAGGAGCAATTATGTTATTTATCCTACAATTAACTAATCTGCTCATATTATCATGTCTCTAGGCATAGAAAAATACAGAAACGTTTGAATGTGTCAAAATGGGACTGAAAGGGGTATATTTTTAGTCTATCTAACAATTATAAAAAACCCATTAAATGTGATTTAAATGCATTCAACTCCCTCTCCCTTCTGGCTTACGTGCACCTTTGCCATCAGAAAGAATTTTAATAACAATTTTAATATAAATTTCTACCAGGTAGAGAAAGCTATCAGCCATTTTTAACTCTTCATGACTCTCACAGTACCTTATGGTGAAGTGCTTCCTCCTGGTGGAACTGGGTTTCAGTTACAATTGTCTAGTCAAGGAGTAAGTCACAGCCACTGTCTCCACAGACTTGCACTCACTGGTCTATATGGTGCCCACCCCAGCAGCAGAGGTATATGGGGAGGAAAGATCTGACTTCTGCTTGGATTGAGAGTTCAGGCACATACAGGCAGATCTAGCAGATGCAGGGATGGACAGCAGGCCAGATGACTCTAAGGCTAAGGGGAAGAAAAATGGTGGGGTGGTCAGGGTTCAGTGGGAGCTCAGGGCAGTGAAGGAGGGGGTTGTGTGTCTGGTGAGATGGCTGTGACATGCTGTCCCATCAATCTGTGCATGCACTGAAGGCTCTAGTAACCCTGTGGTAGGACTCTCATCTTACCAAAGGGATAATAGAGATGCTCCCCTGACTGCCTGGCAGCTGGGCTGTCCTGACGGGATGGACTAAGAGCTTTAGTGCTGGGAAGCACAAAGAGGGAGCTCTGTGAGGACAAGGACCAGTTACAGCCACCTGGGCTGATAAGTGAACAGGATGACACAGCCCCTGGTTCCCAAGAAATATCCAGATCTGGGTAGGGAAGGTCATTTTAATGGAGGGGAAGCAGGCGGTAAGAATAGGACAGGTCAGCAGAATCTGGGCTTTCTCTTCATGGACTCTCACTGGTGCCCACAGCCCAGGGGCCAGGCCATGTTCCAGCACCTTCCTCCCTCTCTCTGCTCCCTGGTTAGCAGCCTGGAGTGAGCAGCCCTGGGGTGCGTGAAGGATCTTGAAAATAGGACCTGAAGCAACACCCCTACTCTATGGGTTTGTATGTACTGTTTTTTCTTTACTTTTCAGATTGCATAGCATTAAAAGGGGAGAAGAGAACAGGTCTAAAAGAGTGATTTATGCCACTGAGATTGTTGTGAGGGTTTTAAAAAAGCTAATAAAAAGATCTAAGATTTCAAGAAAAAGACAACGCTAAAGGGAGAACTAATAATCCCATCACATTAACTGCAATACAACCTACATTTTCTACTGACAGCAGGAGATCAAAACAGACACTTTCCTGCTGCTGTTTCTCTAGTAATGATCTCTAATGCTTGCATGTTACAGCACATGTGACCAACCCCCTACTCAGCATCTCGGTACTACTGGCCCACTTCTCCCTGCCTCCAGCTGCCACAGTTTATCTCAGCTGTGTCACCTGCTGCAGTCACTTCTTCATTGTGGCTAAAGGAAGTCCTAATTAGTTCTGTTTACTGTGAAAAGACTTCATCAGCCCAAAGAAGGAAACTGTCTCTTACAGTCAGAGAGACATAGCACAACAGGCTGAATTCTGGTCCCACTTCAGTCCTGTGATCTGCTGAAAAAAATCTGAACCTCAGTTTCCTGTAGAAAATGAGCAGGGATCAGACCCAATCATTCTGAGACCACTTCCCAGGTTTTTTGTTCTAAAGCAGTCATCAAGATTAAAGGTAGTACTTTCTGTATATTTTTACTTAACATGTTACACAAAATTTTCTTGTTTAGAAACTTTACATACTCTAATAATAGGTTCCCTGATTAACGAAGTGTTATAACAACCAAACAAGGAGAAAAATCAAACAATTAAAAAAAAAAAAGGCCACAGATAGGTTGGGCATGGTGGCACATCTACAATCCTAGTACTCAGAAGACTGAGGCAGAAGAATCCCTGTGAGTTCAAGACCAGCCTGAACTGCATAGCAAAACCCTGTCTCAAAAAGAAAAAGAAAACAAAAAACAAAAACTACACACACAAAACACTGATATCACACACACACACACACACACACACACACACACACACACACACACAATGGTTTACTCTTTATTGAACATAGTTTTAGATATAAATGCCATGTATGAGTCATAATAATGTGTTTTTAAGAATAGAAGATAGGGTTAAATTATAAAATCTAGTTCCCAGTGGTCTTATTTTAATTAATCCTTTTAGGTAACTTATAAAAATGTAAAAAGTATACATATTAATGGAATACCATGTGATTATTAAAGATATTTACACCCCATAATGTTTAAATCACATTAAATATGCCTTTCTCTTCAAAAGTTTATCATTTAAGGTAAAAACATACAAAATCCTCTTTCAGCTTTCTGAAATACGTATTTTCTAATATCACAAAATATTCTCAGATATCTCCATGTTTTTTGCCAATGTGTCTCTATGACCTTGACTTACAAAGCAACCCCTGCAATAAAGCAGTACTGCTATCTACAGTCGCCTACTCTCCAGCAGCACACCAGGACTTCTTGCTCCTAACTGCAACTTAGTACCCAGGCATCACTTTCACTACCCCTCTTTTCCCTCTGCTCTCCCCAGCTACTGGTAACTATATTTTACTCTCAATTTCTATGAGATAAACTTCTTTATATGGTGTGGATCAATGAGATCAGTGGTACATGTCTGGGTTTGGCCTCATTATGTTAAGATAACACAGTGACCTTTATTTCCTATTGTTGCAAAGGACAGGATTTCGTTCTTTTTAAGGCTGAATAATACTCTATTGTGGATATGTGCTACATTTGCTTTACACATTTCTCCACCAATGGACACTTCAGTTGATTCCACACCTTGGCTATCATGAACAGTGCTACAATGACACACAGGAGTGCAGATGTCTCTGTGATACATTGATTTCATTCTCCTTGGACCCATATGCAGCTGTGGGACTGCGAGAGCATATGCTAGTTCTAGTTTTATCCCAGGAGTTATTCCATCCTCACAGGACATAAGGTAATACTGCTTTTATCTGTGATGGTTACAAAAGGATTATTTTAAATAACATTACTTTATATATAATTAAAATTTCCTTTCCTTTAGGCACTTTGTTCATAAAGAGCATCCGGCAAAACTTTTAGCACTGAAGCTCATATATAAACATGGAAGCCTCCCTCCCCACAGGAAAGATGCTCCAAGACCACACAGGACATGCCTGAAACCACATGTGGTACCAACTCTCTGCATAATGAGTTTTCCCCCTATATATGCATACCTTTGATAAAGTTTAATTTATAAATCAAGCACACGCTCCCTTAGCTAACTTCCACTTCGTAGTGCCTATGGTGTGCCTGTCTCGTATTCTATTTCTAAGCTTTATATTTTTTCAGATTATCTGCTGTGCCCTAGAAAGTCAAACAGTCAAGTCCTTTAGAAATATATGTAGTATAAGTCACTTTATATAATAATAAATTTAATTTTCATATATATTTCACATACAAATTTTTTTCTGGTGGTGCTTGAGACTGAACCTACACACGGACTATGGAGCACTCTTTCACTGAATTACATCCCCAGCCCACAGTTTTCTAGTTTTTTATTGAGGTTCCAAATTTATACAGCTTCATGTATTACAGTATAGCATTACTGGGTATACAGTGTGTATATGTATACATACATATTAGATATATAACATATAGTATAGGTTTATCCATAAAGTATAACTAGTTTATGTCATACGTCATAAGATAAGCAATT